TTTCCTAGCTACTGTCTATTTTTCTGCTTGCTTTAAATTGGCTTTAATTATCTAGATGCTAGCATATTCTGAAAAAGGTTACAGGACTTTGAAAACCTATGTTTTTCTCCATTCACTTAAATGACCCTTTTTTACCTCTAGATTCTAAACGTCTACAATCTTCCCTGATATCTCTCGCACAGTCTATTAGTTTACAATGCACCAACTTCGGAGCCATTTCTATTCTCTTTCCAAGCTGTATGTAGTAGTCCTTCACTACGTAACAAATTATTTTAGTGACCTTTTTCTGAACCGAGCATTTAATTCTCATTCAGCTACTCTACTTGTTTGACCCTCAGAATCAGTCTTCTTTGTGGGATTGAATATTATGTTGTTAACCAATGTTGGCAGATTACCTGAAAGATCATAAGGCAGTACATGCTAAAAAACATTTTTTCCAAGGGAGTAAATCACTCATCCCAATGTTCAATAAACAATATTATTTGCTGTAAGTGCTTTCCTATGTTCAATGTCTGCTCTAAGACAATTTATTATAGGAATAATTATTCCCCGTAATAACAGCAGAAGGCGTCTCAGTCGGTGCATCTGAAATTAGGAGTTGCTCTGCAAGTGTATGTAAAATAACAATGACTGGAGGTCCAAGTTCCACAAAGAAGCTTGATATGATTAAGTATGTTGCTACACTTCTTGCAAAGACAGAACTTATAAAAAGTGACTTTGAGAAAAGTATAAAAGTGGATCAAATGATTCAAAGACTTAGGATGATGGCATTTTTTTTTTTTTGGTGGCATATTTCCAGTCGTGTGCTATTTTAATTTTTAATTCAACCTAGTAGTGCAATTTACAATTCTCTTCTTACCTGAACAAATGTAAGGATACCTCACAGACAAAGGCAGTACTAGCACTACAAACTTGACCACATCATCTTCTCCCAGAGTTCACTGAGGTATGTTCACTATACATTTAGATGTGGTAAGCTGACACCTGCATTGCAAGATCTAACATAAGGAGAAATTAATGAAACCACAAGGTGTATTGAAATTCAGCTATTTTGGTCTAACTGTTAAAAGTGTGTTTTTACTGCCTGGATCTCACTTTTTTCGTGATTAAGCAATCGTATTCATAACCACAAGCTTTTATATGTTCTACTTGCATGCGGATGATTGTCCCTGCATCTCTAATATAATCATGTAAAAACTATTGAACTTCGCAATGCTTTGAATTAAAATGTAAAATATAGGAAAAACAATCTTCTATTTATATGATCCCACAAGCAATCACGCAAGCAGATGCACATTTCAATCACAAAATATATCACCTACAACAGTAACTACTGATTAAACATCATAACAAAATGACATAATTTTTATGGCTTGAAATGTAACCAAATACGAATGCTTTACTCCAAAGTTAATATATACATTACATACTCTAGTCATTTAAATAAATACGTATATAAAGGGTTAATTAGAAACGTTGCCAGACTTTTTGGTGATATTATTATCTTGGGTATCTTCAAGGGGTTAATGAGGTCGAATCCTTGTTAACAAATGATGCATCTTTTGTGAAGGACAAACAGCCTTTTAAGTACTAACATTACCATTAACCTTGAAAAATACCAAATAAGCATCAGTTTTTTTTCCATGTTATCCCGAAGCATTAATTTGAGACTGTTATGAGTTCAGGATATTTAGAGGTTTTAATTACTTGTTTACATTGTAATATTCATGGGCTCTGGGCAGTCATTCAGATGCATAATTTTTTTGAAAAATGAACTTCATCAGATTGTATGGGATTTATCTACAGTATTTAAATGTTCATTTAAAAGTAATTTTGAATATAAGTCAATTAACATGCTGTGATGTTGAGTAAATGTAACCCCGTTTAACCCCTTAAGGACACATGACATGTGTGACATGTCATGATTCCCTTTTATTCCAGAAGTTTGGTCCTTAAGGGGTTAAAAAACCCATTGTGCAGAACAGCCCTAAGTTTAAGGTGTATAGTAAGCTTTCCCTTAAGGACCAAACCTCTGGAATAAAAGGGAATCATGACATGCCATACATGTAATGTGTCCTTAAGGGGTTAACAGGGTTATTTGCTAAAGTGAGATTTCAAAGTGAATTCAAAGTGAATTTGATATTTTAGGCCGAGTAGCTAAACATAAAGCATAGCTTACTAAGATAATGTTTCCATTTTCGCTACATTGACCTTAAATGTCAAATTCACTTTGGTGACTAGCCGTGTAAAGTGGAGAGTAATCAAAGCCAGGGAAATTAATTGTCTATACGCCTGATATTTACCAGGGTAGGAAAATGCAGTGTAGTATTGCACACCTCCCAACATTTCAAAAAGACAACGAGGGTTCTTCAGAAAAATTCTAGGTGACTTACTAATAACAATTTATGCACTAAGCACACACTGATTTCTAAATACATATGTTGAAGTTTAAAGACAACTTTAGGTAGTATTGATGTGGAGCAATGTTATACACTCAAACACACCATTGATACAGAGGGTCAGAAGAATAAGAAAGGGACAGAAGTAATGGGCAAACAAAGGGATTGTCCCTCCTAAATAGGAACACGAGGGGTGTATGGTGACTTATCTTGTGTAGTTAAAAACCAGTGGAGACTGGGGATATATTAGACTGTTGTGGTGGGTGAAATTTGCTTTAGAATTAGTGATGTCCCGAACGGTTCACGAACGGTTCGCGAACGGTTCGCCACGAACGGTTCGCCGCGGACTCATCATTGAGTAAACTTTGACCCTGTATCTCACAGTCAGCAGACACATTCCAGCCAATCAATTATGGTTGTCACCCCCTGATGGCGGCCCTGAGGTGCAGTGCCATCACAAGCCAAACATAGTCCTGGACAATCAGCATCTTCTCATAGAGAGGAATTAAATCAATGCATCTCTATGGGGAAAGTTCAGTGTCACCATGCAGAGTGGAGACACTGAATCTCAGTCACATTGTGCAGCACTGCCCCGGGAAACACCTCTAGTAGTGATCTAAGGAGTGGCCAGTGAAAATATCCCTAGGCTGTAATGTAAACACTGCATTTTTCTGAAAAGACAGTATTTTCTGCAAAAAGCCTGAAGGGAATGATTATACTCACCAGAACAAATACAATAAGCTGTAGTTGTTCTGGTGACTATAGTGTCCCTTTAACACACAAGTCAATATTAAGAAAGATGTGTTTTGTGTGATAAAAAGATGTTGTACAAAACCCAATACAAAAAAGGGCACTCTAACTGCAAAACAATCTATTGATAAGTTATATATATGAGTCTAAAAATATAAATTGTCTTAAGAAGATTTAGCTGCACACATTTTAACTGAATGGCTTCCCAAGAGTTCAAAGTGTACCCAATCTATTTGAAGTATCTATGTAGAGGATTTTCTCATTATAAATGATATGCTATAAGGCTCCTTAGGGAAGACGTAAAATAGAAATAGACTTTGAAATTACATGGAGGTATATCCGGTGTTACTCTGTCAAATCTCACTTCTTTTGAGTTAAATTATTCTTAGCAGACAGATTAGTATTTGTAAAAGCCAAAAAAATACATATTTTTTCTAGCAGAGATGTATGTGATGGAGTTGTTAAATTATTTTTCAATAAAAATAGAGATTTTTTTTATCATTGCAGTAGTAATGTACTAGCACCAAGCTGTAGTATGCTGTGAATGCACGTTAGCTATTACCTGTAATAAGAGAGTATATTCATTTAAAAAATAATAATAATGTATGTTTTTTACATGGGGAAATAATAGGCTCCTCACAAAAACTCACTTTAGCTCTCCTCAAATTCCCCACCCAACCAGGAATCTGTGGTTGTTACAGATATTTAAAGGATCACTATAGTGCCAGGAAAACAAACTCGTTTTCCAGGCACTATAGGGTCATTTGGTCCCCCCCCACCCTCAGGACCCCCCTCCCTCTGGGCGGAAGGAGTTAAAACCCCTTTTTTGTTAATCACGCGCATTCTGAAACTGCTATGTTTACAGCTGCAGGGTTAAAACTAGAGGGACATGGCACCCAGACCACTTCATTGAGCTGAAGTGGTCTTGGTGCCTATAGTGGTCCTTTAACAATCTTCCAGCTGATTACTTAGCCCATCTCCTTTCCTAGTGTTGGGATTGAGTGTGGACCTGTTGTTGCCTGTTTTTTTACCTTATAAGATCTTTAATTATCCAGTCTACAGGCCCAATGCAAAACATGGGTGGTTGATATAAATTGGTTATTTTTTCCAAGTTTCCATAGTATATGTTAGTGTAAATGGTTACTCCAAACTTTTTTCATTAAATCATTTTTTATAATGCAAAATTCCTTATTGGGTATTAATAATTAGGTTTCCCTCCAAATCTTTGTGTGCAACCCTATAAAATAAGTTATACCTGTAAAAGTAAAAAGAAAAATCTTAGAAAGGAAATCAACACAGTAAAGGAGGAGACTATATTTAAAAGAAGAATAACTACGACAACAAAAGGACATAGTCTTAATTTAGCGGGGTAAAGGTTTATAAATAATATCAGGAAGTATTACTTTACTGAGAGGGTAGTGGATGCATGGAATAGCCTTAAACCTGAAGTGATAGAGGTTAACACAATGAGGGAGTTTAAGCATCCGTGGGATAAGCATAAGGCTATCCTAACTATAAGATAAGGCCAGGGACTAATTAAAAGTATTTAGAAAAATTGAGCAGACTAGTTGGGCCGAATGGTTCTTACCTGCCGTCACATTCTATGTTTCTATATGTTTCTATGTTTCTATACTACACACTTATTATATGTGTGTGTGGGTGTGTATGTATGCATATATATATATATATATATATATATATACACAAATATATATCTATATATATATATACATACACACACACACGTATTATATATATATAGTGATGTCCCGAATTGTTAGCCGAACGGTTCGCGAACGGTTCGCCACGGACTCATCATTGAGTAAACTTTGACCCTGTACCTCACAGTCAGCAGACACATTCCAGCCAATCAGCAGCAGACTCTCCCTCCCAGACCCTTCCACCTCATGGACAGCATCCATTGTGAAGCTGCATTCTTAGTGAGCTGTCCAGGAGGTGGGAGGGTCTGGGAGGGAGGATCTGCTGCTGATTGGCTGGAATGTGTCTGCTGACTGTGAGGTACAGGGTCAAAGTTTACTCAATGATGAGTCCGTGGCGAACCGTTCGTGGCGAACTGTTCGCGAACCGTTTGGCGAACAGTTCGGGACATTACTATATATATATATATATATATATATATATATATATATAGATATACTGCTCAAAAAAATAAAGGGAACACAAAAATAACACATCCTAGATCTGAATGAATTAAATATTCTTCTGAAATACTTTGTTCTTTACATAGTTGAATGTGCTGACAACAAAATCACACAAAAATAAAAAAATGGAAATCAAAATTTTCAACCCATGGAGGTCCAGATTTGAAGTCACACTAAAAATTTAAGTGGAAAAACACACTACAGGTTGATCCAACGTTGATGTATTGTCCTTAAAACAAGTCAAAATGAGGCTCAGTAGTGTGTGTGGCCTCCACATGCCTGTATGACCTCCCTACAATGCCTACTGCATACTCCTGGTGAGGTGGCAGATGGTCTCCTGAGGGATCTCCTCCCAGACCTAGACTAAAGCATCTGCCAACTCATGGACAGTCTGTGGTGCAACGTGACGTTGGTGGATGGAGTGAGACATGATGTCCCAGATGTGCTCAATTGGATTCAGGTCTGGGAAATGGGCGGGCCAGTCCATAGCATCAATGCCTTCGTCTTGCACACTCCAGCCACATGAGGTCTAGCATTGTCTTGCATTAGGAGGAACCCAGGGCCAACCGCACCAGCACATGGTCTCACAAGGGGTCTGAGGATCTCATCTCGGTACCTAATGGCAGTCAGGCTACCTCTGGTGAGCACATGGAGGGCTGTGCTGCCCCCGCAAAGAAATGCCACCCCATACTGACCCACTGTGACTCTGTCAGGTCTGTCACATGTGCTCAGTGTGAACCTGCTTTCATCTGTGAAGAGCACAGGGCGCCAGTGGCGAATTTGCCAATCTTGGTGTTCTCTGGCAAATGCCAAACGTCCTGCACGGTGTTGGGCTGTAAGCACAACCCACACCTGTGCAAGTCGGGCCCTCATACCACCCTCATGGAGTCTGTTTCTGACCGTTTGAGCAGACACATGCACATTTGTGACCTGCTGGAGGTCATTTTGCAAGGCTCTGGTAGTGCTCCTCCTGTTCCTCCTTGCACAAAGGCAGAGGTAGCGGTCCTGCTGCTGGGTTGTTGCCCTCCTATGGCCTCCTCCACGTCTCCTGATGTACTGGCCTGTATCCTGGTAGCACCTCCATGCTCTGGACACTATGCTGACAGACACAGCAAACCTTCTTGCCACAGCTCGCATTGATGTGCCATCCTGGATGAGCTGCACTACCTGAACCACTTGTGTGGGTTGTAAACTCCATCTCATGCTACCACTAGAGCGAAAGCACCGCCAGCATTCAAAAGTGACCAAAACATCAGCCAGGAAGCATAGGAACTGAGAAGTGGTCTGTGGTCACCACCCGCAGGACCACTCCTTTATTGGGGGTGTCTTGCTAATTGCCTATAATTTCCACCTGTTGTCTATCCCATTTGCACAACAGCATGTGAAATTTATTGTCACTCAGTGTTGCTTCCTAAGTGGACAGTTTGATTTCACAGAAATGTGATTGACTTGGAGTTACATTGTGTTGTTTAAGTGTTCCCATTATTTTATTGAGCAGTGTATATATAAAACACAAGCAATGTAATGTATGATCATATAATGCAACTAAACCCCCATTATTTTTGCCAAGTTTAGGTGTATTATGCATGTTCAGGTGAGTGCAGCCCCCTGGTTTCATATATATATATATATATATATATATATATATAAATTAAAAAAATATATGTATTTATAAAAAACAAATAAAAACGCTAACTTTGGCCAGCGTTTGTGACTAAGTGGCTACTACAAAAGACTAGAAATACCCCATTTGGAATACCCTGGGTTGTCTACATTTGAAAATGGTATGCCATGATGGGGTTATTTCACATTCCTGGGCTATCATATGGTTTCAAAAGGCAAGACAAACCCAGCAAACCAATCTGGCAAACTGAGTTATAACTATAACTATATTGACCCTGTAACTTTCCAAAACACTATAAAACCTGTACATGGGGGGTTTTGTTATACTCGGGAGACTTCGCTTAACACAAATATGAGTGTTTAAAACAGTAAAGCTTATCACGACGATGAAATCACCAGTAAAAGTGCAGTTTTTGTGTACAAAAATGCAAAAAACAAATCTGAAAGCTAACTTTGGCAAGCATTTGTGGCTAAGTGGCTACTACAAAAGACTGGACATACCCCATTTTGAATACCGTTGGTTGTCTACTTTTACAAATGGTATGCCATGATGGGGTTCCTGACAGATATCAGTGTTACAATGTAACATGTTTATTTTGAAAAACAAAAAACGGTTTGGAAATTGCAAAGTGCTACTTGTGCATATAGCCCTATAACTTTCCAAAAAAAGCTAAGAACATGTTAACATTTGGCATTTCTAAACTCAGGACAAAATTTTTAAATTATTTGGCGGTTATAGATGCGTAACAGATTTTGGGTGTCAAATTTAGAAAAAATATGTTTTTTTAAATTTTTTTATCATATTTTATAATTTTGTTATAGTAAATTATTTGATATAATGAAACAAAGGTATCTTTAGTAAGAGCCTTTAACGGTGAGAAAAACAGTATATAATATGTGTCGGTACAGTAAATTAGTAAGAGAAAAATTACAGCTAAACACAAACACCGCAGAAATGTAAAAAGAGCCCTGGTATAACGGTAAAACTGTCTCCCTTGGATATTCATTTGAGTATTTGTTTGCTGCTACGTCCTCAAATGTGTTCATTTTTGTATACTATTTCAATAAACGTTAGATTTTATTTTATTAGGGACTGCATCTGTTTTCTACGTGATGTTGTGTGTTAGTTGGTGTCTCCCTTGTGATTTTACTGGGAGTGTATGTTTGTGTGTGTGTGTGTGTGTGTGTCACCATGCATTTGTTTCTGACAGTGTGTGTTACTGACTGTGTATGTGAAAGTGAGTGTGTATGTCACCATGTATATATTTCTGACTGTCTTACTAGGAGTGTATGTGTGACAGTGTGTGTATGTCATCATGTGCATATTACTGACTGTGTCTTACTATATATATGACATTGTATATCTGTGAGTTCTGAGAAAGCATGTTTTTGTGTGACCGCAGTGAATATCTGTGTGAGTTTGTCTTTCTGTCAGTTGCACTAGTGAGTGTGTTTGAAATATCTGTGCATTCATATGTGTGCATGAATGTGCGTATATGTGTGCATGTATCAGAGTGTGTATATACAAGCATGTATCAGTGTATATATGTGTGTTCATGTATAATATGAATGTAACCAAATAAGCAACATGGCTGCAATGAAGGTGATTTAGGCAACGTCATTGCAAAGTGACAACACATAATTATACAATACGCATATATTTATTTGCAACACTGTTTCCATGCCGGATACTTTATTACTTGATAATTTATTTTTTTATAGTTTTTCTGTCCAACCAAAATTGTTGTCTTTGTTTCCATTTAATAATGTGTTGTCTATGCATAATGAAACGAAAAATACATCTAAACATTACTTCCACTGAGTTTTGAAAAGAGCTTGTGGGGATTCTATGTTACATTAAGATAGCTTTTAAAGGAAATAATCACTTTTATCAGAAAAAGCACTTATCCGTTTGCATTTCATTTCAAGTTGTGCGAGTCACTGTCTACTGTGGGGAAATGCCCTAAAACTTTTGATAGATAATCTTTTCTCGAGGGCACCATTTCTGTCTCTACTAGGACATACCATGAAAAACATAGGGGACATATATTCACAGCACATGTCACTATAGCTCCAAGTAAACCATGGGGACAAACTGTTTTGGAACGGCTTGAATAATTACTAGGATTAGAGAAGAGAATTTGCATTACATTTTAAACATATTTTAAGTAGCAATGTAAAAGCAGGAGCATTTCTGAGATTTACAGTGCCCATTAGTATAGTGTGGGTAAGCTTCGGGGGCCTATTCATTGAACACAGATTTCAAGTGAATTTAAGCACTTAAAGCACACTGTCACTTGACAGATCCTTATCAACTTATCTGCAGAAAAGTTTTGTTTTCCATTTTTTTGAATTTGTTTAGCAGAAGAGCAGCCACATAGCAAATTATAAGTGCAGTGTTACATTTGCCTATGCAGAGGCAAAATAGAGTAATGAAAGGCAATAACATTTCACATCAAGGAATCTGCACAGAGGTCCTAATTGTTAAGGATCAGAAGTGATTACGTCAGCAGGGGAGGAGCGTAGGCGGAGCCAAACCCAGTACCAAGTGACATCAGTGCTGGGTTCAGGTGAGTGACTGAAGGGGTTTTAACATACATATATATATGAAACCAGGGGGCTGCACTCCCCTGAACATGCATAAATTGTGTCCTGCTGGTGGCCAATTTATACAATACACAAGATCCAGCACACTCACTTATCCACTAAACAGCAACTTCAATGTTGACAGATTTTATTAGTTTTTTTTTTAAATAATGGTTACATTATATGATCATATATTGCATAAGCCTGCCACAACGTCAATGTACCCCATCTTTGGCAGGTCCTACTCTAACAGCCTAGGTGGCTGCTCTTATGAGATTAACCCACTTACTTGGGGGAAAAAAAATCCATCTGGGGCTCTCTGCAGTACAAGGCTAAATAGGGCCCTGGGGTGAGGCACCTGTGACAGGGAGGGGTGCAAAACCAAGGAGTTGGCTAGATTCCCAAATATACAGGATTACACTATCTGTGGTTCTCTTTTGTATTTTATTGTAGATTGTATTTTTTTTATATATCTTCCAATGTTTGGGCTGAGTCATCGAGGTCTCCAACTTGTGAAGGAGGACTCAGGGAAGCACAGAGGATGCTGTGTAGGACACCTCGTGTGTTGCCACACCTGTCAGAGTGGAGGTCAGTGGCCGGTGAGTAAGCCCGCTGCGCCTGATGCTTATCTCCCCAC